AGCAAGATCCATTCCACAGTGTAACAAGGACAGTTTGTGGATATTTTCCTTTGGAACTCTTAAAACATTTTATTTGAGCAATGTGCAGTTTCCTCTTCATCATGGCAGGACATATTTTGCAATCCCCACTCGTTTTTTGGTAAAGACACGGTCAATCAGTGCTAAAGCACAGAGTTTTATAATTAAAGCCAAAGTATGCATGTTTTAAATTAAACAAACAAAATAGGAAGGGTTTTGTGCATTGTGTGTGGGTGTTGTTGTTGTTTCTTAAGTAATTCGGACTAACTGGATAGTATTCTCACCAAACTTCCACAAGATGTCAGATTGTGATACAAGGTCTTTACTGTGTTGAGAATGGAAAGACCTACCTAAGGGTTTTTTAAAAAGGCCTTTGCATTCATTGAACAAAAGCCATGCTCATGCGACCATTCTTTTCCAGCTGATGTCCTAATCCATGGTGTGATAGCAGACCCACTTGCTGGGGGTGGGGGTAGGGAGAAAGCCCCTGAGATTTGGATGGGAAACGAACAGAAACAGATGGGCCCTTAAACAAAGACGAAGACATTTTAATGCAAACATCATTAATCAGCAACAAAGAGAGGAAGGAGAGAGTGAAATATAAACAGATTTGCTAATAAACAAGATTTGTAAGGGGATGGTAGGTAGCTATATTGTTCAAGATCATTTTAAATAGTATTTTAATGATTCCTCTATATGGTGACTAAACGCAGCTAGATCTTGTGGCTCATGCTTCTTTCTACACCATCATCTTTAAAAGAATGTGTACACGTGGAAAGGGAATAAAAAGGAAATAGACGCTAAGCAGAAAACAGCAATTAGCAAGAGGAAATAGTTGCACCAGGAGGGTAATGATGTCTGCTCTATGTCAGACCCACAGAGGTTTCTGAAGTTGAGCGGTAAAACAAAGTGACTTGACGTGCTGTGAAAAGAATCCAGTGACTTTGTTTCAGCAATCGGAACATGGCAGCTGGTCACTTGCACCTCCCAAGAACTGTTACTGGAGATAAAAGCATAAAAAGATGAACAAAGGCTGGCTGAAAATGAAAATTGCAGCCACATGGTAGTTAAAATTTAAATATCCAGAGTTCATGGATAGGATTTTTTGAAAAAAATCCAAAACTGTCTTTCAAAGTGGGACCACTGTAAGAACTTTAAAACACTGTCAAAAAGCTTCTCTTCATTGCCAAAATCAAGGCGGCCTGAAACACTGATTAGGTCAGAGGTCGTCAAACATCACCACCCCCGTCCGCGGACTGGTGCCAGTCTGTGGCCTGAGCTGGATCAGGCTGCAGGGACAGACCTCCCCCCCGCCGCACGCACTCCCTCATCCCTTCACGTATGTGGGTGGGTGTGCAGGCACTGCTGCACATGCATGAAGGGGTGGGGGAGCGCTCACGGCAGTGCTGGCAGGAGGGTGTGCTTCCCCACCCCTTCGCACACGCGCCCGAGAGCGCGCGCACATGCACCCAAGAGCAACGGGGGGTGCCCTGTCTTCCTCAGAGGCTCAGCCAGTCTGTTGTCCCAAAACGGTTGGGGACCGCTGGATTAGGTAGTATCACTGCTCAAACATACGCATGACTTTATTGTCCTGTTCAGGCATTCTAAAGTCATAAAAGGAAACATGTGGAAATGGGGAATTACTCTGGTGCTTCTAGAGAATGGCAGTCTGAACTGGAACACAGTTTCTCTGGATGGAAGTTTTCCATGCAGTTCTGAACCCTGGTTTTCTACCACATCTGTCCTGAATAGGACTCAAGTTAAATCATATTCCTTTCAGCAGTGTTCTCTATCTTGAAGGTCTGAATAGGACTCAAGTTAAATCATATTCCTTTCAGCAGTGTTCTCTATCTTAAGTAGGTTCAGATTCTGACAGACGTCTGCAAAGGGTTTGCAATATAGCAAGGCAAGGCAAATAAAAATCCATTTGAGATTTTCAGCTACTGCACTTGTGGAACTAGGCTCTGGCTGAAACAGAGCCTAAACCAACAATTCAATGGACTTTTACTTGGAAGTAAGTCCCAATCATCAGCAAGCTCCACTAGGCCTTCCCAGGCAATGCCCACGCTGGGTAGCCACTCCAAGGGAAGCCAGGAAACCATCCACCAGAAACAGAGCCTTCTTTGCTATGGCACCAACACTCTGGAACCAACTTTTGGTGGAGCGGCACATTGCTTCCTCCCAACATTTAAAAGACTCCTGAAAACACTGCAAACCTGCCTGATGTGTTGTTCTTGCTGCTTTGTTATATGCCTAATGTATGATGAGTATGATGGCATCCTTCAGTCTCGAAAGACTATGGTATCGTGCTCTGTATCGAGGACTTGGAACAGCGTCTAGTGTGGCTGAAAAGGCCAATTCGAGAGTGACAATCTCTTTCACACTGAAGACAAATCCAATCTGTCCCTTGTCCAGCTCCCTGGTTTTGCTGCTTCCGGGACTGCTTCTTTGCCTTGGCCTGCTGGACAAGGGTCTCTTCAAATTGGGAGAGGCCCTTTCCACTGGACTATTTCAGCGATGTGGAGAGGGGGGATTTGCTGCCTGGGTAACAGCCTATCCTCCATATTATTTTACACAGACTTCGTGCTCTGGAGAGGACACTCCAGCTTCGCATACAGCCTAATGTACAGTACTGCATTTTATCCTGTAATTTATGCCTGAGATTTTTGTTCCAGTGTTGTTTACTTGTTTTATTTAACTTACATTTATTGTGTTTTATCCTGCTGTAAACTGTCCAAAGTAGTGCACTGTACTAATGGGGCAGTATATATAATAAATAAGTAAGCAAGTAAGTAAGTCACACCTATTTCTATATAAACATGAAGCCATTGCTTACTCCACCTGAAAATAAGATTCCAGCTCTCACTCTGCTCAAATAGAATAAAAAATTTAAAACAAAAATATACAGCCCTCACACTGATATGGTAATCTTGTCTGTCTCAGCTTCTGCCACTTCAAAATTTTTCTTTGGATTACAGAAAATTCCCTCCACTCCCTGTATAATCTCATGGATTCTGGCCTCAAAGAAACATCACTTTCATATCTGTGACATGAAAGCTCTACTATTAAAGGTGTGACTACACAGCAGTTTGATTCACAGCCTGTGTTACATTTGTAACCAGTCTGTACTCACACACGGGCTGCGGATTGATTTAGGAGATCACCATTCATGCTGGATGTGATGTGATTCACATTCCAGACCACAGTCCTCCTTCCCTATTTCCTTCCTTCCTTCTTCTGGTCCTGCCTCTGCCGATCATTTTATGGAGTGTAAATGTGAAAAATAATGATGATGATGACCCAGCGTTAAGGTGGCAGTGTGGTCTAGTGCTAATATGTAAGATTTTTTTAAAAATTGAGGGCACATTGGGGGGGGGAGCTGCCCTGGCCCTGAACATCATAGCCTAACTGCCTACTTCATCAAAACACCACCTACAGACATGCCTCCTATCTTTACAACAAAGTATCAGGAGCAAACAAACAGGAAGAAGCCTGTTTGAATAAATCCTGCTTGAAAACGTAAAAGGTAAGCCTCTTGCCCTACGTATTAGTGCTCTGTATGCCAGAAGCATATTTTTGTGTGGAATTATTCCATGTGAGTCCCCAACCTATAATAAAACTGCACACCCAAGGCATAGGTTTAAGACTACTGTGAGACGGACACCATCATTTTGTACAAGTGATGCTAAGGCCACACAATTCAGCACAAAATTAGGCTAGTGTGTACCCACATCTGTAGATATTTGTACATCTACATTTTCTTTATCTGAATCTCTTGATCAGTAAACAAGAAGCAAATTCTCCTCAATAATTCTATGCAGATAATTTCAAATTCATTTATTTATTATTTATTTAAAATATTTTAATCCCACCTTTCTCCTAAAAGCTAAAAACAGTAAGTATACAAGATGTAAAATATGATATTTTAAATGTTCGATAAAACCAATGTTCTAAAAACACATTTAAAAGCAACAAGGCACAACAATCCTCTCAAATTCTTCTCAGACAGCCAGTCACTCAGGGAAAGCCTGATGGAAGAGAAAGGTCATTTTATGGAGTGTAAATGTGAAAAATAATGATGATGATGACCCAGCGTTAAGGTGGCAGTGTGGTCTAGTGCTAATATGTAAGATTTTTTTAAAAATTGAGGGCACATTGGGGGGGGGAGCTGCCCTGGCCCTGAACATCATAGCCTAACTGCCTACTTCATCAAAACACCACCTACAGACATGCCTCCTATCTTTACAACAAAGTATCAGGAGCAAACAAACAGGAAGAAGCCTGTTTGAATAAATCCTGCTTGAAAACGTAAAAGGTAAGCCTCTTGCCCTACGTATTAGTGCTCTGTATGCCAGAAGCATATTTTTGTGTGGAATTATTCCATGTGAGTCCCCAACCTATAATAAAACTGCACACCCAAGGCACAGGTTTAAGACTACTGTGAGACGGACACCATCATTTTGTACAAGTGATGCTAAGGCCACACAATTCAGCACAAAATTAGGCTAGTGTGGACCCATATCTGTAGATATTTGTACATCTACATTTTCTTTATCTGAATCTCTTGATGAGTAAACAAGAAGCAAATTCTCCTCAATAATTCTACGCAGATAATTTCAAATTCATTTATTTATTATTTATTAAATATATTTTAATCCCACCTTTCTCCTAAAAGCTAAAAACAGTAAGTATACAAGATGTAAAATATGATATTTTAAATGTTCGATAAAACCAATGTTCTAAAAACACATTTAAAAGCAACAAGGCACAACAATCCTCTCAAATTCTTCTCAGACAGCCAGTCACTCAGGGAAAGCCTGATGGAAGAGAAAGGTCTTTGCCTGCTTGTAGAAGGTCAGCAAAGATGGGGTCAAACCGGACCACCCCCACCCCCCATAGGAGGGTAGTCCAAGAAATTCTTTCTGGACAGCAACAACAATAATAATCTCAAATAGTTTCTTACCTTCTATAACATTTCTTACCTTCTAGAGATGAAAGCTGCTGTTCAGCTTCTAAATACAGCTGTGAAAAAACTGGTCTGGGGACTAGATTATTTGACCGGAGAGAGGCTTCAATAGAATTATGCAGCACTTCTTCAAAGCGTGTTGATTTGAGCTGCCCAGCGTAAGAATTTCCCATTTTTGAGAAAAAGAGGTTGAAGAACGTGGCTTCTTAAATATGACTATTCACATAAAACAGGAGGGAAGGAGAGGGAGAAAGAAAGAGAATCAGATTTTTTCCCCCACAAACCAAAGGAAAGCATGAGAAAGAGATAACAGTCAAATTGGCATTTCTCAAAAAAAAAAAAAGGGGGGGGGGTCTGATGTTGTCCTTGACAGGTCAAAAGTGAGGGAAAGATGAAAGCATGCTTTGAAGAAAGCCTGCAGGTAAGTGATAGGAATGTATGATAACTGGTTTCCTTAATACACAAGAAAGGCTACGGACTCTATTTGTTTAGTAGTAGTAGTAGTAGTAAATTTATTTCATTTATATGCTACCTTTCTTGCAGTATAGACCCAATATGGTTCACAAATTATTTTTTATAAAAACCAAATACAACTAAAAATACAGTAAATTGTAACACTGAAAATAATTCAATGTCTGCAATCCTGTTGCTTAGTGTTGTCACTGAATCAGTGGGAATTTGATGAGGCCTTTCCTCCGTATGTTCCATTGATTCTAATGGACCTGATCTAATTGTGATTTAAATACAAAAGCTATTTTTTATCAATTGCTTATGAGTTAGAAGAATGGAGCAAGGATCTTCCTCCAAAGAAGTATCTTTTACATTTATATACTGTCCTGTAAACAGATTTCCAGTGCAGTTTATACTAAATAAGAACAGTATCATAGGGGGGGAAATGGATGCGGTTGTAATCAAAAGAGCAGAACAGCTGCAATTATAGCAATTAAACTTATAAAGAACTGCAAACTTTTTAACAGAGGACCAATAAGGTAATAGGGTAGCATAAAGCAAATGTGTCTTAGGGATTCCCCAGGTGGGATAATACTATAGAGAAGCCCTCCCCTCACTGGTTGTCTTGGATGGGGGGGGGAAGAAGATAAAGACACCCAAAAGAGAGCTCCAGGTTGCATGAGTGGATCCCCTTCCATCAAGGCATAATTTCATGACTGCAGTATCACATGGTAACCACATGTGAATGAACCAACCTAACACCCAGCACCACAGAACTTCCCTATCACTTGATTCCCTCAAATATACTATGTGTCAATGAAATCAGTACACACACAAGTTAACAAATTAACTTAATTATTCAAGCTAACAACTAATGACTATTCAAGACACTAGAAACCTGATGACTAACGTGAATGTAAGAAGCACCCTGTGGACACAGGAAACAGTGGCTTCATGCTGCATATTTTTCAACCTTTAGAGCTCTCCGTTTCTGGTGTTGTTTTTAAGTAATTATTAAAAGTACAGTGGTGCCTCGCTAGACGATGATAATCTGTTCAACTGAAATCGCTGTTTAGCGAAATCATTGTCTAGCGAAAAGCATTTCCCCATTGGAATGCATTGAAACCTGTCTAATGTGTTCCAATGGGGAAGAAACATTGTTGTCTAGCGAAGATCGGCCATAGGAAAGCTGCTTTGCGAACTGCCGTTCAGCTGTTTAAATTGCTGTCTTGCAAAGCTTAGGTCCCAAAAACACCCGTTTTGCGAGCACGGAGGGAGCTGTCAAAATCGTTGTCTAGCAAAAATCGGTTTGCGAAGCAGGGACCAAACATTGTCCAGCGAAATTCCCCCATAGGAATCACTGTTTTGCGAATCGCTATAGCGATCGCAAAAAGTCAATGTCTAGCGAAAAAACTATCATGCGGGGTAACTGTCTAGCAAGGCAACACTGGAGCTCTTTATTTGACACGGCCTATTGCCTCTTTCAAACAAAGTCACAAGAGGGTAGAGCTTACACCTAAAATTAGAAGTTGTAAAGTCAATGTCAGGTTATATAAAATAAGCCAAATAAAATAGAACCTGAATTTTACAGCCATGAACACTAGGCACAGAGATCATGTACAAAGTGTCAGCAGGTGTGCCTGACAAGGACACTGGAATGCACATCTTAAAAGGTGAAGGTGATGTAATGTCTCTGACAACCAATTGGACAGTGATAGCATAGACACTGTGCAATGATTTCTTCTCTTGGCTAATGTAAATGGTTATGGACTGTAAAGCTGTTGCTGCTGTATATACATATATGTAAACAGACTGCTGAGACTGGAACAAGGAGCTTTTGCAACAGACGCCGCTAAAAACTGTGCCAATCTGACATGTTAGTCAATACAGTCAAAACTTTAATTTGCATTACGTGAAACCAAAGCTTAGGAGGAAGATTCCAGTGTCGTACACCAAAGAAGTAACTTTTCTAATTTCTACATGAGGGCTGCATGAACCTGAACATGCTAACCAAGTCATTAAACGGCACCAGAATGTTTGACATGGCGAGCCTCTTTTAGTTGTGCTATTGAACTCTATGTTGTTGTTGTTGTCGTCGTCATCTGCTGCTACAGAGCAGATTTATGCCTTCCCACCGCTCTCAGACACAGGCCACCGGCGGGCGATGCAGGAGGAGGTTTCAAATGTCTGTGAAATTCCAAACAGAGATCAGAAACCTATGGGTTCAAAAAAGGCCCCATGCCACAGGAAGCGGGGGGGGCGGCTGGGGGGGGCTAGGCTGGCGGCAATGCTACTAATGAAAACAAGCTCTCGTGTTGTTACTAGCTGGGGAAAGAACTCTGAAAAGGTACGGAAAGCAAAGAAGTGCTTAAAGGGCAATTTCAATCCAAGTGAAGATGGGGGGAGCTGCTGGGGAGGAAGAGGAGAAAGACCACACAGAAGCTGATCGGCAACATAAAGAAAAGCCTCCTCTATCTCCCCTCCCCAAAGAGTAGCATGAGATAATATACCTGCCCAACACAATGCTCCTTGGCAAGCACAAAGATCCCTGGGAGAGTAAGATGGAAACAGGGTTTTTTTCCCTTTCTTTTCCCACAAAAACCAACCAACTATGCGGCCGTACCTGCTTCCTTTGCTACCTCTGTCCAAATATAATCAAATGTTTTTGGGCTTTGCAAACTGAGGAACGAGGTTATGAACTGAAAGGGCCCAATTAGGCTGGCACAATAAAAAGGGGTTGCCAGGTTTCAGGGTTCTGGCTAAAGTCTCAGCTTTGCTCCCTTGGGCTTCCAAGAGGGGAGACGCATCTCAAGACCAGTGGGGCTTGAGTGGGAAAACAATGGGGTTTTTTTGTTTGTTTGTTTGTTTGTGAGGTGACTTTATAGCCCCAGGTCCTATCCTCACTCTTTCTTTCCCAGCTGGCACCAGGGCTCACCCACTCGGTGTGAAGGATGTATGTGTGTGTTTGTGTGTGCTGAGACTAAGGATGGGCCCAAGTGCATGCATTCACCCATCAAGTCTCTCCCTGCTCCCCTTGCTCCTAATTTTTGGTGTGCCGATGCTGAGCCCATTATGCCATTTGGGGCAAGGCAGGGAGTGGCGTCTCAAAGTCGGGACTCCTGACTTGTCAGCCTCTCTATGCTCGGACCGCCTCGGTGACCTCACAAGTGCCCCCCCTCGGCTCCTGCTCTCAAGTTTGGGCCCTGAAAATGCAGGAAACAGGATGCCACTGAATTGACAGCCGTATACAGAAGGCAAATTCAAGTTCAATCCCTGTCAAGTTTTTCTCATGCTGCCTCTTCAAGTTGCTACAGCTTATTGAGGAAGACACCTCACAATGCCAACCCATACAGTATCAGAAATTCAGATGGGACTGAAATTGGAAACACGGAGATAGAAAAACGAAGGAGGCTGGAGGTAGCCCCCACCAATTGTGGAAGCATTCTACCTAGGAATGTGCCCCCGCCTTGTTGTGCTCTGGCTTGAAAAGTCTACCCACTGTTTCTGCTATGGCTTAACACCCTTATGATATTCCTCTTCTACCTGAAGTACCCAAATGAAGGATAAGGCCCATATATGCTCCACTAAGCTCTTTCTGCGAATTGTGGTATTCAAAGAAATAATACTCATTAAATTAAAACATAAGCTTTCATTCACTGTGCCCAAAACATGATGATACCTGAGGTGAACAAAAACATCATGGCTCTTTCCATTCCATGTACAAATCTGATGGAAGTGGGAGGAATGAATTGATCTGAGCCCTGGTGAAAGGACAGGACCTTCCACATCGCGTGAGGACAGCAGGCTCAATCAGGGAGGTGAGTCAGGTCAGATGGGTCACAGAACTTCGTCCTCTGACTGGCCTTCAAATATCTACCTCCAAAGGCAGCCATTTATCTCTGCCTAGTGGTAAGGACAGCTCTGAACCCCACAGACCACAAAGGGGAAGCACGAAGGGATGGCTAAGCTTCAGCTTAACTATCCCTTTGCTTGCCACAGAACACCTCCTCTCAGTGGAGGGGGTGCAGTCCCGTCAGGTGGCTCACTAAGAATTGCCTCCCTCATATGGAAGGACTCTACTTGCTTACGCCAGCGAATGCATACAGCCTCTTGTCCACAAATGGGGAAAAAACAACTTTTTGGGGGATACAGCTCCTAGAATTTGGGGCTCCAGGTATATAAAGTGGGATTTTGGTAGCTGTCAAGATGCCAAGAATTGTGCCACCGAGAGCATTTCCAACTCACACAGCTACCCCCACTACACACAGGATATGGTGATGGGAGACTTTAATACTGTAGTTCCGAGTGGGTGGTAAATCACTGCTGGATCACTGCCACCAGGATCAGAACCAGTGGCAGCAATCTGGTGATGTTCTTTTTAATATCAAAAAACTCCCTGTCCCTTCTTGAAAGGTTTCCCCAGGACAAAAGGGCACCCAAGAGAGCCTCAGAGCCGGAAAGAGGAAGGGGGAATAGGGACTTTTCCATGAATTTGAATGCATCTGGCACCCAATCTGGATTATGCCAGCATGTGCCAATGTGATTTTGCCCATTATGCTGATCAATCCACTGGGAAGCTTCAGCAGCACAAAATGCCACCCCGCAAGTAGAAAATATATTTTGGAACAAAACAGCAACAACGTTCTAAAAGAACCTCTAGCTTCCGACATGATGCTTTCAAACCGGATGTGTTATTATTCTAGACTCAGCCAATATGTTTGCCTTGAAATGACTATACTCAACTTCCCAAACACCCTGCTCCATCATTTAAGTCTCAGAAAGCAGCTCCCAAATCAACCAGCGGCAAGCCTGAGCACTGAAACAACAGCTACGTTCCGAAGAGTAATATATGATATGGCAATAAATCCATTAGGTAATAGAACTGCATCCTGTGTCATCTTATTCCTTCCCTACAGGAAACACTGCATTCTAATGCAGATTTCTCTGGCTTCCTAACAGGATCTCATAAACACTGCAGGTGTCACTTTGGAAAGAAAATTACTAGGTAACAGACTCTGAACAATCTGTTTTTACCTAACAGACCAGATCTTACAGCCTCTGTTTGCCCCCTGGAATTTATTCCTCTCCTCCTGTCCTGAAACCGTCCCCACAATTCACTGTTTGTGCATATTAGTATTTGGGAAGGATGCAGGGCTTCTGATGTAAAACAAAACAGCGCAGATAATTCTGTCTGAAATAACTACAGGCTTTTTTTTTTAAAAAAAGGAGCTTGCAAAAGCAATTGTGAGGAAATGCATAGCAATGCTCGTAGTTAAGAAAAGCACACAGGGAATCACTGAAGTTATAATAGGTTTCAGCTGAAAGAAAATAGGCTTCCTCAATTATTTCTGAAGTACTTCAGTCACAGCTTGGAAAAGTTCATTTTAAAGAAGACAATCTCCAGCCAATCCCCTTAATGGGTAGAGGATTCTGAGTGTTGTCCAAAAAAGTAGCTTTTCCAGTTCTAGCTAGCATAGGGACTGTGATCCCTCTTGGTTCAAATCTGAGATGGTTTCCATCCCCAGGTTATATGACTGTTTCCCTCCTGAAAGGTGAACTGGCATTGTTTTTAGCTACAAGTAAATTACTTTTTGAGATTTCTATCCCACCTTAATAAAATTAACATGGAAGTAAAACATGATGAACAGGGCATTTTGTGTTATCACTTCAGAAAACGGCCATTATACTCTGACAAAAACATATGCCATTTTCCATACAAACTACAACAAGCTTGTCATCTAAATATTCCAATTCGGAAAAGTTAAACACATGGCAACTTTCCCACTGCATCTGATTTATCTTAAATCTGCTTCCCGTTAGCCAGAGTACGCCTCCCCATTAGCTTTTTAGACTTAAAAATTTAAATGCCATGTTTCTTCAAACCCTGAGGCAGCAATGCGAAACACTTGCACTGTGATATCAAGAAATCAAGGGGAAAAAAATACAACTGCGTGGAAGACTTAGTAGACCTAAACAATAACAAGATGGTGGCAAAAACTTAAAAACTTAAATGCCATGTTTCCTCAAACCCTGAGGCAGCAATGCGAAACAGTTGCACTGTGATATCAAGAAATCAAGGGAAAAAATACAACTGCGTGGACGACTTAGTAGACCTAAACAATAACAAGATGGTGGCAAAATCTAGAAAAACTTTGAAGGCAGGATGCCCCTAGAGGCTTTGTCAAAGAGCCCAGTTTTTAATATCCTTAAATGCCATGTTTCCTCAAACCCTGAGGCAGCAATGCGAAACAGTTGCACTGTGATATCAAGAAATCAAGGGAAAAAATACAACTGCGTGGACGACTTAGTAGACCTAAACAATAACAAGATGGTGGCAAAATCTAGAAAAACTTTGAAGGCAGGATGCCCCTAGAGGCTTTGTCAAAGAGCCCAGTTTTTAATATCCTCCTTAAGGGGAGGGAGGGAGAGAGGGGACCAGGCAAAGCTCCACCAAGAACCCTTTCCACGGGGACAGTGGCACAACTAGGAAGGCCTGATTTCTTGTGGATGTCTTCTTGGCCTCTCTTTCTTGGAGTGGCAAACTGTAGGAGCACATCTTGGGCAGATCAGGTGGCACGGGCCAAATGAAATATATTCACTTTTTATTCTTATTAACAATACCCCAAAACACAAACACAACACCAGAAAATACTAACAAGGAAAATAACAGGGGGAAAAATACATATCTTCCTACAAATTAAAAAAGAGATAGAACTAAAATTAATGCACCAAGATCCTAAGAGATATATTTCCTCCAAAATAACCCTGTCTCTTGCTTGGGTGGACAACCTTCACCTTTCAATAATATAACCTTCACAAAACCTTGTCATATTTCAAAAAACATATTCTCTTTTAACACTCCCTTTTTAAATTTTATATCCCATGTCAACTTATCATTAGCTGTTGTTTCTCAGAGTTCATTATACCATTCAGTTAATAAAACGTATGCTTCTGTTTCCAATTTGGGAGAAATAATATATCGTTATTTGTACAATTTCCATTTGTTTAAATACTGACTTCCAAAATTTCAATACTGCTTCACACTCCCGCCACATACGAAAGATATTTTGGGTAGACCTTTATAGGATTGTACTGTCCACCTATAAGAAGGTAGGAAAGCCTAATGAAAATGCATGAGTTGCTATTCCATGTAACCCCCATCTGGCTTGCTATTATTTCAAAACCAGCTATACTCAAATACTAATCAACAATACACAGTGCCTTTCCCATTTGTACATTAGAATTTTTACAAAGATTTGTGAGGATGATCTAAAAACTAGCAATGCAGCAGACGGGAGATAAATTGGGCAGAGACATGAGAACATAACCAACAGCAACAAGAATCTAATACAAAGCACTCTTGGGCACAATCCAGATTTATACCCACTTTTTCATCCTCTGATTATTGTGATTTGATGTCATGCTTGCTTTGGAATGATCACTTCCCTCTACTACAAAAACTTCAAGAAGACTGCCTTGGTAACCCTACCTGAATTTCCAGAAATTTACACATGTGTAAAAATGTACAGATTGATCCAGATTAACACTGTTCCAAATGCTGTGTTTTTAGACATTGAAACACTGTACTGAAAATCCAGATAATCCTATAGGATTTCTGAGTAAAGCTAATGTAATCTTGGGGTATTAACTTGTCTACTGAGTGGAAGAATACACCATGCAACCTTTTCTTGAAATAAGGTATCAGAAATACCAGAATTAATATATGAAAATATTTCTTTCTGAGATCCAAGTTCTAATTGTTGGAAACTGCAGACAATATTGTGCAAGGCCGCATTACACCAAAGCAATACAAAAATGTGTTTGGTGAGGCACATCTTGCTTTGTTTAAGTTTAAAAGTATGAGGGGAAAAAGACGAGTCAAATAACAGAGAGTGTTTTTAAAATTACATGTAAATCAAGATGTTACTTAAGAAAGTAACAGAAGTGTTCAGAATAGATTCCAAAATCAAAGTCCCCTATGCATTCTCTCGCATTTAAAAACATTTACTGTATTTCTTTATTCATGGAACATAAGTCAGAGCAAGGGAAGTAATAGGTCTTCAAACAATGGTGAAACAGATAAGTTTTTAAAAAATGTAAGTAGTATTCCAATGCACCAAACTACACGCTGGTTTTGCAGCATCATAGCAAAGCACAAAAGTTAATTTTACTACCAGGTTGCAACAGAGGTGATGCCATCGTGCGTTGCCATCGTCCTTACAGTTAATTCAGGGGTGTGTGTAGAAGTAAGCAGCTATCCACTTTGATAGGCCATGACACAATTTCTAGAAGACCACCTGGTGCTTTCTGACTGAACGGAGTCTTACAAAGACTATTGGACTAGATAAACCTTTATTTGCTCCTGCCAGGCAGTTCTCGTCTCAGACAAGAAGGCATCCTCAGAATTTCTTTCTACAGAGCAGTTACGCTTAACTGGTCAGAAATCAGGAACAGGCACTCTGGCTTCTTGCACTGAACACACGCGGATTCTATGAAGCAAAAAAGCAATCCCACCCTTGAGACTGAAGTCAGCTCAGGTTAGTTGTCTTTTACCAGAGTTGCACCTAAAATCAACCCTCTTTGACACAGGGGTATGGGGGAGGAATGGGGAGACAAGCATATGTCTTCCTAGCAAAATATACGGTACCTTCTAGAGATGAGGCGTGCCAGCTCCCAATTCACACCTTGCCAGTCAGTCTCCTGCTCTAAATCATCAGGAACTGAGCACTTGCAAAAGGTGGTTAGCCAACATTCAGCTTCACTCCCTTGAATTTGACTCCCTTTCAATCGGGAAGGGAAGAGGTTGACAGTCTGACTGAGTAACCCTCTGGAAACAGCACCATGTTTGTGCAACCCGAACACTCTCGGTCAGGTCATCATGACACAAACATTCCTCTGTGACAGCAGCACACAGAAGAAGGATTCAAAGCTATCTCTGTTATGTTCTGTGGCTAGGACGGAAACAAAATACAGGGCTACACCATAACCTAGCAAGCTGTTCTGTAATTTGTGTGCCCGGCTGGACGAGATGATAAATTGCAAGAGGTTTCCTTCCCCCCCCCTCCCCGCCCCAAATTCTATCTTAGTAACACTGAAGTGTTGTGCTAGGTCATGGTGCTCCTAGTCAAGTACTCAGCGGTCTGTCGGTCTAACGTCAAACAGCTCTCCTCCCGCCCCCTCCTGTTCTGCACACACAGAGAATCGGGTTTTTTTGAAGGAACAGGGCAGCCCTCGGGCACAGCCGTTTTGGAAACCTTCACAGGTAAGGGTAGAGTTTTGAAAAGATTTATTTTTGGACTACACTTTCCAGAATAGTATCTCCACCAACAGCAGAGTTGTAATCCAAAAAGTCATTCCGCCCAGTTGTGTTGGCCTCGGAAGAGAAGGTATGGGCAAACAAACCATGGAAAGGAATCATATATGTAAAGTGAGGGGCATTTCTAGAAGCCGGCAGGAAAGAAACAGCAGGGGAAGCATGTGCATGGGGTGGCTTGTAAGGCTGAAGGGTGGAGAGGAATTTGAGGGACCGTTGCCAGAACCAGGCATGAGTGATAGCTGGCGATGGGAAGGGGAAAAACTCATGGAAGCGTCTGAGTGCCACAGCCCTCCCAAATTCTGCAGCTGAGGTTGCTTTGGCTGCTAGCTGGCTGTTCTTTGGGACTTAAAAACAGGATTCCTTTGAAGGCTGATTTCATAATCCTGGAAGGACCTCCTCTTAAAAACCCTCATTGTGACATGAACATGTTTTCAGTTCTAACTGCATCTTCTCTGGCTTGAGGAAAGGTGTTGAATGCTTCTTTATCTCACCATCCCATGTCAGTGACTGCAAGGTTTGAATTTTGGGCTGTAAGAAAGCTGACCTCTGCAATGGGAGAAGAATGGGAGGGAGGGTTGAAAAGTTGGGAATGGGGTGGGGGGGATGACAGCAGCTGGTGACCTACTATCTGAGAAGGGTGAGAAACCTCATTCCCCCACTTCAGGATGATCTGTTTGGTCTATGGGCTTTCACGGAGGACAGAGCACCGGGAAAGAATTACTGCAGGTTGCTTGGTATCCTGCTTCCCACTTGCTCATCAAAATTTCTCCAGGCTTGATTTCTCCCTGTGTCTGTCCTTGGCCAAGTTCCCCTCAATGATCTGCACAGTATTTTCAAGTGATATATCCAGCAAAATAAGTTAAACAAACATTGGAAAAGCCCAGCATGCGTTCTTTTTGTGTGTGTGTGTGTGTGTCAGACATTATGATAGATATCATTACAGTGATTACAATGACAAGGAAGCATCTGGCTGATCTCTTCCAACACTTTAAAACATTTGAATGATCTTAATTGCCCTTGAAACTAAATACTGATCTTCGGAGAGGATGTGGCGTCAATCTACCAGCTTTCCCAGGGATGATTAGGCAACAAAATTCCTACTGCAATCAAAGCGACCTGATGTTCCTAGTTTATTGTAAAATCTTTGCATTGACTAGCTAATTATTAGATTTTACCATCTTCCTTTCTTTCTTTCTTTTTACATTTTCCAACATTCTCACTTTTTTTCTGTTAAGATGGATACATGAGGGCGACACACTCTTTTGAAAAGTATAAATTAAGCAGAGACAAAAAAAGGTCCTGAAAAACTCTCAACATTCATTAAGGGCTGACCGTCTTGAGCAAACAGCTTCAAAAAAAAAGAGGTCATGGTGTCCCTGGAGCCAGAGATATCATTGTTGTAAGACAATTTGCCTTCTCTCTCCTCCTAGAGTGTAACATCAACTACGCTGGGGTGTTTCCAATAATCAGGTACAGGGCCATACAGGTAACTAAAGTATTTATTTACAAAGTTATGCACAGTGTACTAGTAGGTCTCTAACATTGGTCTACAGTAGAGTCCCTTTTCACCTTGACTATGAATGTTAAAAATAAGGAGCTATCTCTCAAGCGGACTGAACCCAAACCCTCCTTAAAATTTCCAAGCAAAGTTCATTCAAAAATAAATGGAGACCAAAGGCAGGGCCTCTTCAGAAACTCATGTATTACTTCCGAAGCTATCCACATAAGGGTAAGGAGATGTGGAAGATACAGAAAAGTTTGTGAGGGCCTTCTCCAGCTTCTACCCAGAGCGAAAGGTTTTTTATCAATATTCTCCAGTCCCAGTGTTTTGGGAAAAAAGCTCTGAACTAATATCTCTCACGACGGTTCCAGTGTTCGGTGATCTATGCTAGAGAGCATTTTCTTCTAAAAGGCATTTAAAGGATTTTGGTAGAGTCTGTGGGACCTGTGACAATGTAACACAGGATGCTGGCTCAGGAAATCCTGGAGATCCTCTTTTTTTGGCTCACTATAGGCTTCATATCTGTCATCTACCGCCTCCTCTTATTGTACCTTCCACATCTTTGGTACCAAACGGGCAGAAACTAAGCAAAAAGTATTTGGAACAGATCCATTCATCACAACTCCCTTAACCATGCCTCTATTCTGTATTTGTGCAGAACAGAGAGTCTCTGGAGTGATACTTTTATCACCTCATCTCATGAAAACCTCTACAATTCCCTTTTTGCTTTCCTTCCCGTCTGACACCTTGAGCCCTGAGAATCACATCTGACCAACTTCTTGTATTTTTTGTTTCATCTCCCCGGGGTTTATGCTAGAGATGGACACAAGCCTCAGTTTGGGGGTTTGTGGTGGTCCATACCTGCAACACCAAGGGTGCAGTGCATTCCCTTCTCCTGCCTCCACAGCCAATGTCCCATTCACCTGCCAAAGCGTGCTCCTCTTCTCCTCTTCTTTGGCTGTTTGACCAGTTCCCAGCAGGAGTTTGGGTTTGCTTGTCCTGCCTCCTTGTCTGAGTGGCGATCAGCCAAGGAGGTGGGGCAAGGAAGCCCATGCTCCTGTTGGAGAATAGTAGAACAGCTGAAGAGAATAAGGAGAGGAGCATGGACTGGCTGGTGAGTGTGGGATCCAGCCAAGGAGGCGAGGGAAGTGCTGTGCGTATGACCTGGCACAAACCTTTGCAGTGCAGTTCATGCCCATCTCTAGCTTATGCCACATTTGCCTGATGAAGAGTTCTGAGAATTCAAAATTCAATTGCCATGGGAAGAGGATTTTCTGAGAAATTACACTCTAGTGAGAAGTCCACTTTTTCTGAACACTAAAGCTATTCGCCTTCAAGTTGGAACTGACTTATAATTACCCTAATAGGGTTTGATGATATGTGAGGACTCGTTTCAGATGGGCATTTGTCCTGCTACATTTGGTGCACTGTGGGGACAGATTGGTTCACTCTCTTTTTTTGGTGACCACATAATGTAATTGCTAAATCTGACCAATCTGCCCTCTGAGCACCCCAGCCTGAGCCTCTAGTCAAGGGCTTCTACTTTTTTGATGTGGGTTGGTGTGCTGTAGTTTCATTCATTCCCAGCACATGCAGTTTCCGTAAACGGACTAAAATTGAGCCTGGCAGCTGTCAAAACTGCCAAGCCTCCTTCCACTGTCAATTCCTGGCATCGTAAAAATTATTTAATTTAATCTAAGTGATTCAATGCATCAGCAATACTCTAACACAGGCAAAAATAATAATTTCACTTTTGATTGGATGGTTTAGTGAGATCTCAAGCAATATGATGCCTTTTTTCAGAACTTTCCTTTGACGGCTAGTGGAGCCATTCACCCTCTTCCTGTTTTGGGCATTGCTTCTCTTGGCACACACATGTACAGACAGGGAGAGAGAGAAAGAGGCATACACAGCAATTGGCAGGGAGGAATCCACCTGACTTTTCACCTGGATATATTCCCCCCTCCCACTTGTCTTCCTTTCTTTCCTTTTGGCACTCCTTTTCCTTTCTTGATGCAGAGGGAGATAGGAGGTTCCCTCACTTAGTGTTCAATTGACACTTGACAGTGGAAAAGTCAGAAGATTGCTTACAGTCGATATGCCATTTGGACATAAGAATCATCAAATGGTATATCACTCCTCTCTCCCACCCCCACCTCAAGCAACCCTATTTAGATGACACCAGCCCGCACCAAAAGCACCAGTGTGGTCACACTCTGAGAGATATTTAAGGAATAGTTTTACCAGTTCCAGACCTCCAGAGTGTTTCCATGGTTGAACGAGGAATTTAATGAACACAGGCCTCCTGAGCCTTAGTCTGTTACTCTTGCACTCTGAGAGATACAGTATTTAAGGAATAGTTTTACCAGTTCCAGACCTCCAGAGTGTTTCCATGGTTGAACGAGGAATTTAATGAACACAGGCCTCCTGAGCCTTAGTCTGACACACTTTCTTCCCTACATTCACACATCGTATTGAACACTGCAACTATTAATTGGGCTGTGACTGACTTTTTTTACCTAGCACAATGCCCACATGCATTCTCTGATTTTGCTATTTCTCCTAAATCCATTCTCTTATTTTGACACCAGCTCTCTTGTTTTTCTGCTCTGAGCCTCCGGCAGAGATCCATGGGCCCAATCCAAGGCAACAATCTGAATAGGATCAGCTTTTGTATAAGCCATGGGCTTCACATCTAGACCCATTTTGGGGCTGTTTGCTTCAACCCCAAGTTTTACGACCTTTTTGCCCAATGAAGCACTCTGAATAACTAGAAAGCTCATCTTATTTGTAACTTTTTGCTGTGTAAACCAGAGCTTTCCTTCTATGAAGGGATCACACAGCTAAAAAGGGTGACACATCTGTTAATATCTACACCCAAGTCCCTGAGAAGGATACATGGAAGCAAAT